AGCATCGTGATACCTTACATGCACTTAAAAATATAAGGCTCGGCAATATTAAAAGCTCAAGTATTCATATAAATTTTCAGGCTGAGTCTAAACAGCTTGCTTCTGAGGAATTTAGTGCACGCATTAATTTCCGCGGACATAAGAGTGGCGTTTCATCTTTCGCAACATTCTGTGGATTCTTCTAGGGCATTTCGGGACAACTTCCTGCCCCTCAGCCATGTTCATTTTAACGTCTGCACATTTGACTGAAGACATTTTAAGTGGAAAATGATGTTCATGGAAGGGTTCAGAAGACTACTTGGCTTGATTCCCAATCAATCGCCTCAGGATTTAGGCGGTAGTATCCATCCATCTTCGCCATATTGCTTTTCACTAGTGATCTGGATGCTCAGTCTCCCCGATAAGCCTACCCAGTACATTCATCTTCATAGGTTTAATGTTGAAATATAGACACCCATTGAATGCCTCAACCAACGAAGTATCTTTGTACTCTTGCTAAATTGCGAATATTTCTATGGTAAGATTTTAATTTAAGATAAACTTCTGTCGTAGTGAATATAGTAAACTATTTTCTAGGTTATACAAGGATTATTTGCACTCACCTGTTGATTGCGGATTAGAAACGTATGTTCCGTAGTTTGGAAAAGTTGACGGCCCGTCAGTTATTGTAAAATACTGCTCATAAATGCGAGGTAGATTTTTTATTTGTCTGCTATCGCTATACGGCGATGTCAAAATACAGCTCGTGGAGGTAGGCGGTTTGAACCTCAGCCTAGTCACTAAGCTAGTGTCCTAATTTTAAAACACGAGCCCGCCATGTATTCCTTGCTTCTAGAATTTTAAAGTCACCCGAGGGATGGCCTTCATCTACCCACCTTAGCGGATAGCCAGAAGCGGCTGATATGGCGGACTAATGAAGACAAATAAGCCAGGAATAACCATTCTCTTTCCATTTTTGGCAACTTATCGATTAGAGTATATTTGTTAAGGGAACTGAAATAGAGGTCAGTTTCATTTTTCCATAGTACAACATCTAGATTTTGGAGTAATTTATTAACAAACTGAGTGATCGATATGCCCGTGCAAAGATCCCTATGTGAAATGGGAGCAAATTCCACGAGGCGCTGCCAGTTAGAATACACACTTGTTTCTCTAATTGGGCACTATCTCACAAACCGCGGCCACTGATTATCTCATAATGAAAGTTCAGGCATTGGACGTTAATGTTGGCTACTTCTTTTGTTATTGTGTTCCAGAACCCCTGCTAGATCAGAAATCATTAAAAATCACAGAACATAAAACGAGACCGTCTTTGGGATTTGACACTTTCTGAAAAGCTTGTTTCCAATTAACGATGAGGTTTACCGTGTCTATACCATCTCTGCCTGTGCCCTCTCCTGTTAGAAACGACAAAGGAAGTATGATTCCTGCCGTGGACCCCAGTTCTGGTAATCCATACTAAGTTGGCGGGAAACTGGCTAGTTTGATGTGCTATAATTCATCGTTTTTTAAAATCAACGAACAAAAAGGCTGATCAATATAGCACTGAATCACAAAGGACTATTTAGCCCTATCAGCCTAGATTCCTGCACTCTCAGTATTAAAATGGTGAAACAAAGTCAGGCTGAATGGACATAACTGCGGGCATAGTAGACAAGACTATACCCGCCCGTCATTTCTTCGGAATTCGCACCGATGAGCTGCCATACTACCTGCGCGACGAAGAGGCCGTTGCAACCTGCCCATCATTGCAGTTATCATCAGCTTTGCTTACCTCACAGCGTACGACTTTATTGCGTCACTATAAATCTAACGTTGCGGGACGAGTGAGTCCCATAACCGATCGGTGGGTGCCCATCTACTAACTGCATCTTTTTAATTTAGATATTTTTCGAATAGCAAATAGCATCCTTCTATCATAAAATATCTGAAGTTGGGGGTATTCTGACACGTCTCCAGAAAAAAACTGATCAAGAGTCCACACCATACTAAACATCCTGAACGCCTGTTTACAGTCGTTAATAGCTGACGGTGAGGTATCCAGTTACCTTACGCATAACACACCCTCTTATCCAATTTTTTATGCTAGATGGACTTTCGACGAGTACCGTACGTACGCAATCCCAACTACGATGCATGGTTCGACATCGCTCGTCCACGTCTCCAGCTAGGCCACTGTTGTCTTTCTCTCGCAAGGGCTCTTGAGCGCGATTGCAATTCCTCCAAGAAAAAGGCTGTCTCGAGTACTTTGGCTGTGGTATTGCCCCTTGTCCCAACTCTCAGACTGCTCGGGTTCGCTCTGACCGAAAGAACGAGTGATTTGTTGTCTTGCCTTCGGAAAGCAGTGGAATCTCCCGGCGATTTCCCTGTGCTCGATGAGCAATGCGTAAGTGTTCTTCAAACTTTTGATTACTGTCTACAACGCCTGTCCAGCAAACTTATTGCCATCTCTTATTTCTTACCTTTAGCTCACTTACATTGGACAGCTAATCGAGTCTTGCGCCACACGCCCCGAGGATGCGGACGTAAAACCCGGCGAACCGCTTCTTTTAAAGCCGTCCGAAGTTTCTGCAGCTCTGGAAACGTTCAAGGTATTACCTCGGAGTCTTCCTTACTTCACTTTCTGCGGCTACTTGGACGCTCCGGATAGACATGCTTTAGCATATTTTAAACACCCACGAAAAAGTTCTCATCCCACGGGATATTGTGGTCAGCCACAATTAGTAAAAAAGACAGTAGTCCCTGGCCTAGAGCATTTTTTAAACGTTTGATTCAAAATATTTGTTCCTCCAGCTCACTGATATCCGCTCAATAGTTTTCATACAGTTCTGTAAATACATCCCACTGGAAGGTAGCTGGGTCAGTCTAGGCAAACGTACGATTATAATTAATCACCGGACCTTTTGAAAGATAGAAATTATACGCTTTTACTTCTAAATAATAAAATTTTCCGACGAAAAGATTCGGACAGTATGACTCCAAGGAGACAAACGCATCTCTCCTAATGAGGACTTTAGACAGTTAGCGCGGGTTTTCTTCAAACGGCACTGCTGGTTGTTTCCCATTAGCACGAATGTACGATAAACCCACTTAATGACATGGAAGAGGAGTAGTCACGTTCCCACATTGTAGCAACTAAATCTTCATGTATGAATAGACGGAGGAAGATGTTGCCTCTGTCCTAAACACGACATAGTAGGATATCAGAGCGGATAAATGCAATTAGAGACGTTACTTTGAAGCGTACCGTACACCGTCAGACAGAATGTCTCTTGAAGACATAAAAGGATCTGGGCGACCAATCAACCTGAAACATTTAAGTCGATCCTGCCCAAGTTGCTTGTTGTTGACATGAACGTCCCGTGAACAACGCCCATCTTTTTGGTTTTTCATGGTCTGTGATCACAATACCTCAGAATCGTAGTACAGGTATACTTTCAGACGGATCCGGTCTTGTGAGTGTTCTGTCTCTATTGAAGGAAGTCGAGCCTATTGTTTCTTTGCTCTTTATACCATTAACATTTCCTTTTTCAGGATCTCTCAGGGAGCCTTAAGCCTACCGAGAAGACCCTACACACGGAGATCGCCAACTTTGTGGCCACAACAACAGCTGACGAGACCATTCTGGCCCAGGAGAAAGCGCAAGTAGAAGAACTTTATAATGAATTCGCGACCACCCGAGATGAAGTTTGGCGGCGAGAGATCTCTAAGATCCGACGCAAAAACGTAATTCACAAAGTGAAGAGCAAACTGCGTGAACTTCTTGATGAGGAGGAGCGCCTGACTTACTTCGATAACCTCAGCACAATTGAGCATCGTGCATGGCTTGCTCCACGCACCCGTCGAGAGCGCCAATGGTCTCGCTTGAAGGAGTGGAAGCAGGAGTTGCAAGAACATCAGGCCAAGAAACAGGGTTCTCGCGAGTCACTTTCTGAGGTGTAAATCAGTGGCATAGGAGAAAAATTTTTTCATCGACGAACCCTACTTATTATATTTTGAAGGCAGGCTAGTCAAAATCGAAGTCTCTTTACTACGTCTCTCCATTCTACATCATGTATCCCGTTGTATTCAGCGTGAATGGATGCATACCGTGGGCACCAAACCGCACGAAACATTGGCTTTAACGTAATATGCGCAAATATTTGAGGTCCAGATATCTTATCGTTTTCATCATCCCCCAAAGAAGACGAAGAAGTTTTAAGGACATGAACCGAGTTATATTGGGACTGAAGTTTCGAACACTCGCTTGTTTTCATCGTCAGAGTAACGGTGTGGTTGTTCCTGTTTTTCGGGGCTGTTTCAGCCTCGCTGCGTGCCTGCTATTATATCCGTGCTCGGCGGACGAACTTTGACGCTTTTACGCACCTCCTGTTACTACAAGCCATTTAATTTGACTTGCGGTTCTGAAACCTATGGATAATGATGATCGAGGTAACTTAGTATACTGACTATTAGTTGAGTCTTTCGAATCGTCGGTGGGTATGGTAGAAAATAAAGTCGCTAGTAGGACTCATATGCTCATATGTTTTCTGTTAGTTTTCGATCACTACACAAATTGTACTATCTTTACTGGGCTGGGTGTGCATAGGTTTCTTATCTTTTGAGGGAACGTGCGTCCTCAAATAAATAGCCGAAAAGTGGTATATTTATACTGTTTATCTAGCTAGTATGAACATTTTGGGTTCGTCCGCAATTTTTTCTCCCACAGGGTTCTATCCCCTATTGCTCCTACTTACGAAGCATATTGTAGTTGAAGCCTATTTTCAAGAGATCTTTTTATTCAATTATTCGCAGGTAGCGGAGCACTAATGAACTTTGTTCAATAAAGTGCTTTTAATCCATCTGATAGATCCCAGTATTGTGCTGTGCACGAGTGCATGCTTGTGTTTCCGGTCCCAGCGGGCGGTCAGGGTTATGCTTGATTGAATAAAGGTAAGTGGGCCTGTTACGGAGGTGAGATCCTCCATGCACTCACGGCAGTCGCCGAAAAGGACAGACCAACTGCGTCATGCCCGCAGTCTAGGCTTCCCCGGTACGTCACACCCATATGCATGTCGCTCGCGTCGTGCGTCGAGCTAACCAGAGGACCACCCACATAGCGGGGGCAGTGGTCGTAGTCAAGATGAGTATAGAATGTCCGCTCGCATACTATACGCTAGGAATATTCTGGAAAGACTGGAGCCATATAAATACGCCGGAGTGGACAAGCTCAAGGACGACTCCGACGGCTCAGCAGACCCCGCGGGCCACACAGTCTTTGTGTACTGTTGAATACAGCCATTGCCTATCAGAAACGCTCTTTTGCCTTCTTCTGCCTATAAGTCGGGTCAGAATAGAGTGGGCTATAACAGGGCCCGAAACAGTTCTGTATTGATTTACCACTGTTATAGTCCAGTTAGTTCGGCGTCGCCAGTTGCTATAGCCCAGTATTTCGAACCCGGCTAATAGGCAGAATAAGGCAAGAGAGCGGTCCTGCTAGGCAATGGCTTTATTCAACCGTACACAAAGAC